CCGCCACCCTTCAGGAGCAGCATGAAAAGAACGCAACACTTATAAAATGTAGAAATATAGCAAATGTTTCTATAATACTCATATAAATATATCAAAATATAGAAAATATTGACAAAATGCATACACCTGCAACGGTTGCTGTATTTCATTGCTGACCGGAGCAGAGCCAACAGTCCCTGCTCATTCAGGCTCATCCTGGGCTCTTATGAGGAAAGCCTGCAGCCACCTTCTGCATTATATACATTTTTTGTAAGAGAGCCAGATACAAGTTGCATTGGGATGTGGGAACGCAGTTTCAATCTGCACCTTCCTAAAACCAACAGAAAACGAGGCTGCTGTTCTCTGATAACACAGGGCCTTCATTCCAATTTCTTGTTTCATTTACAGCAAAAAATACAGTTTCTTCGTGATGACATTAGTTAACTCAAAAGGAAGTTTTCAGAGGAAAACCTCCTGCAAAACCAGCACCTGCTGTTACCACATGGAGGTTCCAGCATGTCAGATGCTCCTTGGTGCTTTATTTTACTGGGCTCACGTTTCTTTTATGCAAGAGCCTGTACCCATACACAGTCTGTACAAACATGTATACAAGGAAAAGATGGAAAAATTATGTTATGCCAAGAAAGCTATCTTATTAGACAAAGAGCCTGAAGGGTATATTTAGAAATTGGAGGACAACTTAGGAATGGAGTCGCACAACATAAGCCAGCGTAATGAAAAAGAGGAAGAGTGGGAGTTTCTTTAGGTATTGCAGGCTGCATCAATAAATAAACACCAAGAGTGACACGGCTCTTCCTCACCTCACCACGTAACAGCAATATCTAACACTTACATGGCAGTTTTCATTCATCTGTCTCAAATTACTTCACAAGGAGCGTTAAAATGTTACGCTCAGCTTCCCTCGCTGTAAAGGGATGCAGAGCTGAAGCCCAAGGTCGTACAAAGGCAGATACTGGAAAAAGGAATCCAGGTCATTGACTCGGAGTTTGGGTGCTGGTACCTTGCCTTGCTAAACTTGGCTCCTAACTTCAAACTTTAGCTTTGTGGGCCTATCTGTCGCTTCAGCAGGTGCAGAACTTCCCGTTGTCCTCACAAATTCTCCATCCTGACCAAGACTGCTGGACAGCAGCCAACAGAGCTGGGGAATGGCTGAGGCTCAAAAGCCCCTCTGGAGACCGGCTGCTCCATCCCCCTGCTCAGGCAGGGCCACATCCACTTGCATTCCGAAGGCCTTCAGTGATGGCATCTCCACATCCTCTTTGGGCGACCTGTACCAGTGCTCAGTCATCCTGGCAGTAAAAAAGGGCTTTGGTTTGCTTGTTTTTTTTCCATGTTTGAATGGAATTTCCTATATTTCAGCTGGCAATTGTTGCCTGTCAGCCTGCACGGAACATCACTGAGAAAAGTCTGCATCCATCTTCTTAAGTATCCCCTCCCCTCATTTCAGGTGTTTATGCACATTCATAAGACCTCCCCGCAGCCTTTCTTCTCCAGGCTGCTAAGGCCCAGCTCTCCCAGTCTCTCCTCATACAAAATCGCACCTGGAGTATTGGGGGCAGCTCTGGGCTCCCCAGTGTAAGGGGACGTGGAGCTCCTAGAGAGGGTCCAGCGGAGAGCAATAAAGATGATTAAGGGACTGGAGCATCTCTCGTATGAGGAGAGACTGAGTGAGCTGGGCCTGTTTAGCCTGGAGAAGAGAAGGCTGAGAGGGGATCTGATTAACATGTCTAAGTTCATGAAGGGTGAATGTAGGGAGGAAGAGGCCAAGCTCTTCTCAGTGGTGGCCAGTGACAGGACAAGGGGTAGTGGGTACAAGCTACAACACAGGCAGTTCCATCTCTGTGTGAGGAGGAACTTCTTTCCTGTGAGGGTGCCAGAGCCCAGGCACAGGCTGCCCAGGGAGGCTGTGGAGTCTCCTTCTCTGGAGATCTCCCAAACCCGCCTGGATGCCGCCCTGTGCCCCGTGCTCTGGGTGTCCCTGCTGGAGCAGGGGGTTGGACTAGATGATCTCTAGAGGTCCCTTCCTGCCTCTGTGATTCTGTGAAAACGTCCCTTGAACATCTTCACAGCCCTCTGCTGGACTCGCTCCAGTAGCTCCACGGCTTTCTCGTCCAGAGATGCCAGCATGGGACGCAAAGGTTGAGATGAGGCCACACCAGTGCTGAGCAGAGGGACAGGACCCCCTTCCTCAGCCCAGGATACTGCTGGCCACCTTTCCCACCACTGGCTTGTCTGTCCAGTTGTCCTCCAGGAGCTCATGGCCTTTTCCACCAAGCTGCTCTCCAGCCCCTACCTGTATGTGGAATTACTCCTCACCAGGCGCATTAAACCCCGTCCCCACACCCCCTTCTCTGCAGACTCGATGGAGGTGCACTCTGCCCCACGCTCTAGGTCCTTAATGAAGATGTTGAACAGTATCAGCCCCACTATCACTCCAGAGATCCAACACTAGCGACAGAGCTTCAGCTGGACTTTGCGCCCCAGATCCCAGCACTTTGTGCCACACAGTTCAGTCCGTCTGCAGTCCACCTCGCTATTTATTTCACCTCCACCTTATGAGTGTATGGGAGACAGTGTTGGAAGCCTTGCCAAAGTCAAAATAAACATCCTCCATGCACGTCACACCATCATAGGTCATTCAGATGCTCAAGGAGCATTTCCCCTGATAAATGCTGTAGATGCTGAATCATCAGCCTGTTCTTGGTACGTTTGGAAAGCGTTTCCCAGCTTGTTTGCTCCATCACCTTCCCAGGGAGAGAGGCTGCTCCTTTCCAAATCCAAATCCTGCTCCTTCTTGCTTTCTTTAAGCCCAGAGGAACGTTAACCAAAAGCACATGCTTTTAAAGACTACCAGCAGTGGCTTCACACTGGCATCAATCAGCGCATGGATAGGCAGGACTGTCACTTCCAGATAGTTTGAGGAATGTGACAGTCCAGGCTGAACTTCTATTTTTGACAGAGTGACCTGCCAGAACAGTTTGCAGTTGTTCCTCAAGAAGCTTTTTAATTATTTAAGACCTGTATGTTTCTCCCTCCCCTGTAAAAAACTACTTGTTATTCCTAGATAGCGAGTGCCCTGCTCCACTGGGATTAGCAGCCACACAAATAAACGAATCACAGAAATAGACCCAGTTGTTGACAGAGCAGTTCAGAGCAGCGACAGCAGAAACAGCAGCTTCCTCCCAAACAAGGCCAGTAAAGTCACCCTGTGTCACTGATGGTCTCAGAGTGAGGACTGAAGCGTCAACATTTAAACAGTTACCAAAGTTCTCCCTAACCAAGGGATCTTGAAGGGAGTGCTCACTTATTAGACAATATAAAACATTTATTTCTTCATCCCCATGCACAGACTTCAGCCACGCTGAAGCAGAAGTGGCTTTGTTCATAGCAAAGTACAGACTACCTAAATTGCATCACTAGTATGAACAGAGTATAGATTTAAAAGCTATAAAATTTGTTTCCCCCTCAAAGTGTTCTGGCTCAGTGAATGAGATGGATTTAAAAAACAAAATAAAGAGCCCAAGAGTACCAAATTTAAACTAGACACCCACAATTACATTTTCAGCAGCTAAGTTATCAAAGAAGAAAGGTAAAAATAAGATTTCAGAAGCGTGAAGGTTGCCACTGGAATATTTTTATCTTGTGAGTCACAAAGCCTGAGAAGTAGGGCATTTTAATAGTCTTGCAAAAAATAAAGGGGAAAAAAAAAAGAGAAAAACAGGGAAAAGGCATCAGTTCCTACAGCATAATAAAAGCAAAGGTTCTTTCTTACCCAACCGTCTTACTATAAAGAAGGAGCAACCAAAACCCACCTCTCCGTCTAGATTAGACCACGGGCGCTGTAGGGAGAGGAGAAGCCTATAGGCATTTGAGAGCATCAAAATAAAAGATATTACAGGAGGCAGGTTGCTTTACTGCTCAACAGAGGCTGATTAGAAGCACTAAGGCAGCACATTCTGGACTACCAGGAAGGAGAAGGCAATGCCTGAGCCTGCCTTAGGAAAACATAAAAAAGTTGGGGACAGGAAGGGATGGAGAAGTTTAGCTTGCTGACCACCAAGCCTGCAATGCATGTCTCACTACAACAGCACCACATGTCAGTGTAGCTGCTATAGGTGTCAGCGGGAGCACTTCATCCCTAAAACACCAACGGCAGTTTTGCATAGATACAGTGCAAGTCCTACACTATAATCCGAATATGTGTTGTGTCATGGAGGCTTCGTGAGGATCTTTCCCAAGAGAAACCCGGATCTTCAAATCTGCAGGGGAAAGACTTTCAAAAAGATCTCCTGACACAGCAGAGTGAGAGTGTGAGTGTGTGTACACACACTATTCTTAATCCAGATGATTTCCAGGACGAATCTGGAATGATCCAGATTGATTGATCTGATTGAAAGTTAAATCAGATTTAACTTTCCTAATTGACCAGGATTTCCTAATGACCTCATTTCAGGACCTGTATTCGAAGAAAAGGTCTGCAACCAACTTAGTTGGGAGAGATGCACATTAACAGCTAATTAAAGTGCTATTTCAGAGAAAAACAACTCCACTTCTGTGTAAAGCACACGTGCAGGCATCACCCTTATGTTCAACAGCACCCTGGTATCGACCCATTCAGACACTGGGTTCCAGTCAAGGATCCATGATCGAGACTCCTTTTCCTTGCTAGTATTTTCACTGCAGTAACGTTGTGAAAGCAAAAGCCACGAGCAAGTTAGTAAGAAGGAGCTGGCTCGTGGGACCATCATGGTGAGAATGAATCATCTGCCTTGGAAGCATTAATGTTTACGATCACGCTGCTTCAATCCATGCTACACATATATTCTTAAGACACACAACTCTTACAAGGGTGTTGATATTTATATAATTCCATAAATTTAGACAGTGCATTACAAACACAATATGCAGTTCTAACTATAAATAGCAGAGCAGTGGGACAGAATTTCCAGCTATTCCTCGGTTTCCGCACTCCACAAATGAGATGCATCATCACGTAAATGGCACAAATTGCAAGTTAACAAACAGGGCAGTAAATACAGTTATTAGGCAACTGAAGGCCCCAAGTGAAGCTTCATGTTTTCGGCCATGGTGTGGACGGCTAGGCTTCTATCAAAAAAGAAAACAAGTAAAAATCAATCCCTGAGAAGACAATTTAACTCCAACATTTAACCACGACTAAAAGATTAAGTGCGGAGCTTCCTCTTCAGTGGAGGTTTTGGTTCTCGATTGCTTTCAGGACATGTTTTCCAGTGTCAAGGTGACAACTCACACCTGCACATGACAAGGATGCTGACAAACAAATGCACAAGGTGATCAAGAGATATAACATGTTTCTAAACCTTAGCTGATGGTTTTCCAGTGTCCCAAAACAGCTCAGGTATGTGCAACCACACAGGAGAATGACTGAATGCACAATTGCAGGAAGGAAAAAGAGTCACCAGATGCTGCAGGAACATCATAAAAACATCCCATAGAAGACATTTTTTTCCAGAAGGCCAACCCAAACTCCCAGTGCATATAAAAAAAATGAAGGGACACATATGTAGCTAAGGTTAGAAATATTCAGTACATTAAATTCTTATTCTCAATAGTAGGTTTGTTTCAAGGGTTAGGTGTGTCAGGCAATGCCAATGACAGCAGTTAAGGCCTATGGTTTAACAATAGACGGTTAAAGTCCAAAAAAAAAAAAACAAAAAAAAAAGAGAAATGAAGCAGTTGGTAGTTACTGACTCTACTCTTCCCCACATCCCACATTTTTTAAGCTTATTACTTCACATCCTTGCTGTCTTTCCATTGCCCCATTTAATTAACAGATTAAGATTAGTTCAGGGAGGTGCAGTACTTTTAGAGTCAGGTCAGTTATTCCTTTTTTGTTTTATACTGCGTTTTATACCTTTGAACCCTTCTTTGTTTTATACCTCAGATCAATAACAGGTGAAAGAAAAATGACACTGAATTATCACTTCAAAACTACATTCAGAGACTTCCAGAAACCCAGGTACTTCCAGACACTCTCGGCCATGACTTCGGGTTGGGGAGAGCCACTTCACCCAAACACCACTTCGCTCTGGCACTGGATTTAAGTTCCGACTCGCTTCCTCTTAGGCAAGCAAGGAGCTCCAAGTTCGAAGCTCAAAAGCAGGGATCAGCAGATACTCAAGTGAAGACCACGCTCTGGGTCCTTGATGTTTTTCATTCACAGGGAAAAAGCAGCTAGTCAACATGGATGCTACTGTCACAAGGAAATGGTGACCTCATGTAGGACCAATTAGAAAAGTGGTTTTAGCAGTTCTCAATATACATTATTTGAGTTACAATTTTGTTATTAGTAGTGTCTTTCAAAAAGTGTCAGTCAGGTAGCAAAGCTGAGCCGTGGCTGGGTTTTCTATGACGCCTCTTCACAGTGAACTGCTGTCGTTTCCCACGTCTCCTCATCCTCCAAGTGAGGCATCTGTGAGGTCTGACCTACGGGTGCTTCTTCACTCTGTGCTGTCAGTAACACCCCTTGTTCTCCTCCTGTTAGGCGAGGGGCAGAGCTACAAGAGCCACTCGCTCCGGGGAGCTGGTCCGTGACAGGCTCTGCGGCGGCTTTCGGCTCCTGCGCGAGCTCCGTTGCCGCCGCCTCGGCCTTGGCGCGGAGCCCGAACGCGTCGTTCCGCACGAGGTACCGGACACACTGCAGAATCACGTTCCTCTCGTGCCGGATGTCCTGGGCCAGCAGCTGGGGAGAGAGCAGGGGGAGAGGTGAGGCACTTCACGGCTGCCTCGGCGAGGCCAACGTGCCCCTTCCGGAGGAGCCGCGCGGCCCGTCGCGCTGTGCCTGGACTGCCCGGCAAGAGGAATCTAAAACGCCCTGGCTCTTCTCTGGAGCCAGCTCCTGGGCTGAGCAGAGCCCTGGCTGTGCCAGTTTGACTTGTTAATGAGCAGGAAATGAAGCCCTTGGAAGGAGCTAATGTTTGGGGCAGAGGTTGAAAGCTGAACGGAGTCAGGGCAAGGCTCGACATGTCACAGCAGTGGGATGAGACATCCCTGAGCAGGGACAGAGCTGCTTCTGGGCAGCAGTGAGAGGCTCAAGCAGGGCAGTTTCGTGGTCAAACATCACCTCTACGACAGTGCTCTGCAGATGCAGCCTGTAGAGCCTCCAAAGGCCACAGCTGAGTACAGCACTCACCCCACTGAACCAAAAAAACACCGGCATATTCAACACACAAATATTTAAGGACCCTTCTCTGGGCCCCATCAATGGCCTAAGAAGGTCGAATTGCACAAGCTGCCAAATCTGATGGTTTCTCTTTGACTAAAGCACCATTCTCGTTTTGCTCAGGTGGCTAAAGTTAGTGAATGTATCCAAATACCAGGAATATCCTCCCCAATTATTTCCCAGCGTAGCCTCACAGTGCCATGTTCTCCTATCATGGATAGGAATTGGGAGCCAGGAGCAGGGCCTCATGACAGTAAATCCATTAGCACCATTTAGACTTTTCAGGTTGCAGTTAACACATTTGATTAGAAAACACTTAGGCGGCACTCTCAGACCTTGGTTTTAAGTACAATAACCCTTCTGGGGCATAATCTACCAAACAGATCTTCTAACAGCTTACTCAGAATGCTGGAGACCTCCCTCATTTCCTTTAGCATCACCAAGTTCATTTTAATATTATAAAAAAAAAGAAAGCCAAAAAATCTGACAGCAGCTGAAGGACATTTTCTCATTGTGAACATCATCAGAACTGATACTCTGAATAAGCTGCAGATTCAAAGCAAAGAGCTAAAGCTATGACTAATATACATCTCTTGCAAATAAACAAGTAAACATTTTGGGCAAGTCTGGTCTGTAATGGCCCAGAAAAGCCTTTTTTACTGTTATAGGTTTCAACAGTGGGTCTAGCCAGCCACTGAAAATGGTGCTTATTTCTACTTAAACCAGTTTCTAAGATGTAGACCACTGGTCTCCAAAATGCAGATGTTTCACCTTCAGTATTTACCTGCACTGGCAGCTAAAACAGCTTTTTCCATTTCACTTTTCACTTTTCCCCTATTTCTTCACATTTTGGGGAAGTTCTCAGCAGTGATCCACTATTAAATTCCAACCCTGCTTCCTAAACACTTTCAAGCACTGCTTGTGACAGCAGACACCTGCCCGTGAATGCTGGGCACTCCTTTGCAAGCCCCAGTCATAGCACATGTCCTTTAACAATGGTTTTGAACATTAAAAGGCCAAAAAAAGGCAAAAAAGGCATTTTTTAAAACAGATTATACCACCAAGCTACAATGCAGGCTTTCTGTTCTGCCAGCATCTACGCCACTTCCCTCAGCATGTATGACTTTTTCCCAAGTCCTCACAGCTTTGATCATCGACAGCTTTGAAGAGCAAGAGAGAGAGATGACTGGGAGCTGTGCAAAGGGCACGGGCAGCTTTAATTCTTGGCAGCAAAAGGGTATGTGCTAAAAAAGACTAAAAAGGGATTTCTCCCACATCTGCAACTGAGGATGTGCCTCACCGGCCCCTTAGGGTGTCTGTGCTGTTTCAGAGCACAGATACCAGGGGAACTCTGCTCTTCCCCATGCCCAGCAGCAGGGCTGGCTACTCACAGGAGCCCAAAAGTTGCCAAAGACATCTGACCTCCTACCTCGTGCTGCTTTTGGGTATTAAGTGCAATAAAATCTTAACCAGAGCTTTGTCTGGGTCTTAGAAAGCCACCAAGCCCTCAGACCAGGTGCTGCAGACTGTTACTCAGAACTGAATCACAACACCTTGGTCTCCATCACCCCACAAATCTCTGGTTACCCTTCTGAGATGATAAAGTCAGCTGTTACCTGAAGGCACAAAGTATTTCTGCTTGTCTACTAAACAACTGTATTTTTGCTGAGTAAAACACTCGCTCCACTTGTAGACAGAACTTTTGCTAACAGATCACTGTGACTTCCCAACAAAGAAAAGATCCCCGAAACTACAATTTCTGAAGAGCAGTCATTATTTTTAGCACCAAGCCCATTACCATTTCCAGCAGAGTTGGACGCCGCTTCGGGAGGAGGGGTAGGGGCTTCTTCCCCCATTTATCAGGGCCCCTGGGGGTGCCTGCGGTTGAATTGGAGCTTCTTAACGCTGCACTGGTGGCTTCCGCGCGCTCCTGGTTCACAGTTGGATCCTGGGGAACACTTGCAGCTTGAGAAGCATTTCTGAGCACAGCCTGGTTTCCTTCAGGTTTTGCTACGATCTTCACAGGGATTTCTTCAATAAAGAGAACACATTTTTAGCTCTCAAACTTTACAGCCTCCCCAACATGCTTATTCCCCCAGACCCTGGCAGGGCATTAGTACTATTCTTACCCACTTGCCCTGGTGTAAAGGCGGGCAAGTCTTTTTGCAGAAAGGGAGGAGGGTTTTTGTTTGTTTTAAGTATGGAGAATATTCTCTGAAAGCCAAATGCTTGAAGTCAGCTAAATGGGGTTGGGGGAGCATCAAGAAATGAACAGACTTAAGTCTCTGCCTGTGATCACTGTGAAAATACCCTGCCCCCTGTTCAGAGTATCTTGCTTAAATTTGACTGATGTGAAAAGAATCATCCTGAAGTTAGGATATGGGATGCCCAAGTTCAATTCCCCTCCCTCACAGATGCTCTCTAGCTGTTAAGCCATCTAGGGAGATAGATGGGTGATAGACAGCACGGCACAGCAGAGATCCCCACCTTACAACGATACTGCAAACATCTCCTAAAGCAAAACTTGAGGCAGAGATCCTACAGAAATGGGAGGTAGGAGAGAAACTCTCTTCTTCCAATCACAGCCCACATTTGGAGAAGCACCCACTCCAAGCACTATAAAGTTCAACCTTTATTGCAACATCCAGCAGCCTTCTATGGAAAAAGCCCTTAAAGACATGGAAATTAGTTCCCAGGGTGAGGATAACAGCATTTTCCTGGCACTCCTCAAATATGATCTGAAGGGAGAGTGAAGACAAGCTCCTTTTTTTCCTACTGCCTGACTCCAAAAGGCTGGGCAAGTTTAATGATACACACCCTATGCAAATAAATGTTATCTCCACCCTTCAGCTCAGGTCACAGCGGTGGGAAAAGGCAAACAAAGGGGAAGCAGGAGTGGGGAAGGAAGAAACCCACCCAGTCTTTCAGGAAACTTTGTTCTGAACTACCTAAAGTAGCCTGGAGGGCTAGAAGACCAGGCATCAGATGCCACAGTCCAAGTGCACAAGACCATTTCAGTGGAGCGCACTGGCTGGCTGCAGAAGTGCTACGGTCTGGGCGCTTCTTCAAGACTAGGAGTTACAATTGCACCTGGAAATAACATCTTACACAGAAACCCATTTAATGCACAAAACTCGAGGTCAGAAATGGGGAAAAAGCAGGAGTAAAATAATGACATTCTTCTACTCATCCCAGCCTCTTCCTGACTTACACCAGTTCTAGCTTGCATTGCCACTGTGGGGAGTATTTCTGAGATGTAGCCCCTGAACTGGCACTATGTTAACATCTTAAATATAAGCTCAGCTCATAGGCTGTATTTTCCTCTGTAGCACCTATGATTTCTCTACAGTTTATTAAAAAAAAAAAAAAAAAAAAAGAGTTTTCACAAGTTCTAACTGAAACTGAGATAACCCAGAGACTGCAGAAGCTAGGGGCACAGGCACCAAGTGCTGCCATAATGCTGCATTTGCCCCACGCTCTGGGTGTCCCTGCTGGAACAGGGGCTTGGACTAGATGATCTCTAGAGGTACCTTCCAATCTCAACTAGTCTGTGATTCTGTGTGATTCTGATTTGTAAACATATAGGGCCTGGACAAAGGAATGGAAGAGGGCAGTAAGCCAAATGTGAAGCCTTCCAGCTCCTCCCCATTCAGAGAGGAAGGTTATTTCTAACCCCATTTTATCCATGTTTGCAATCTAGGGTGAAGGGAGAGGGAAGAGGAGAGGAGAAAGGGCCGTTTCCCTGAGCTCCCTCGCACCTTCGGGCTCGCTCTCCGACGCGCTGCCGTAGTTGGCCGACAAGGAGCTCAGGGCCGAGGTGACCTGCCTGGGAACAACAGTAGTTCCCAGCTTCCCGTCTTCCGCAGCTTCTTCCTCCTTGTCGGACTCTGCACAGAAAGAAAAGGCGAGAGGGGTTTATTCCAAGAGCTCCCGTTCATTAACGGCCAGATTTGCTACCTAATCTTCATTTAAGCTGTACGTGAGAGTGGCGTTAGGCACCATCGCTCCGTGTCAGGGACAAATGACACCCACCCACCCTCCAAACAGATTCCAGGTTGTTGGAGCACCGGCTCGCAGACCTGCAGGTGAAGTTTCACAAGGGAAGCGTCGCTTCTCCAAAGAAAATCTGGGGCTTTTTGGTTCCATCTTTGCACAGAGCACTTAATTATGGGTTTTATTAACAACTGCGGGTAAAGAAAGAGCAAGGATTTCATAATATGTTTTGAAGTCTTGTTGGATTTAATCCAGTGGGGGTGGCTGCTAAAGCCAATAATGTAAAAAGGAGAATTTCCTCATTTACAGTGAGGATTTTAAAAGGCAAGGATGTTTTTCGACGGTATAAATCCTTCTAAAGGGCACTCAGCCTACAAAATTGGGCAATCAGTTTGCAGCAGTACTTCAGGTAGCTGAATACCTAAATCCCTGCAGAGCATTATGGACATGCCCAAGAAAATGAGATCTTACAGTCCAAACCTGTCCTTGATAAAGAACACTGGGAAAAGGTGACAGGAGGCAAATGGAGCAAAACCACCTAATTTGAGGGCACCAGGAAAACAGAAAGGAGCTACCAGAAAAAGCCTTCCAAAAACAAGTTTGTAGCATTATGAGGGTTTGAATCGTCTGGAAAGCGCATTTTGACCTTGCAAAAAGATCTTTCTCCAGAAACCTGCCTCCATTAACACTAGCAGTAGTTATTGAAAAGCATTTCCTAATAAGCCTACTATTAACATATGCATTTTATTTTATGAATGTGTATAACTAAAATCCTAAAAATCCTCTACTAGAAACATTCTCAGGAAGCAGCCTATAGAAACCTCTTATAAGAAAATGGTCGCAAAGTTATTTTCATAGAGGAAAGAATCGTGCCCTGTCCCAACTCCTGTCTCCCTAAGCATGAATATTACAGCAGGAAAGCTGCCTAATACTCCTTAAGAAGGTATTACAGAAGCAAACACAAGCTCTTTATTTTTAAAACTACCAGTTCACCTCTATTTTTCTCAAACATATCAGTAGCAATAGGCAAGCTGCTTTAGAGAAGCTCTTGCTATTTGGTAAAGCAACTTTGATTTAAATTCACATGTATTTATAGGAGCTGCTACTCTACCCTTATTTGCCTTTGTCCTTTCTTTGCAGGAGAGCTGATTTGCATTGGCTTGGTGACCACATCAATATGTAACTTCATGGAAAGCCCATGATAAAGGTGGTGCAATTTTTCCTAATGGAGAGTACAATGGGTCTGGAATTACATACATACATATATAAATATATATATATAGATGTGTAAGCAATTATAACACACAGGGATTTACTTCCGAGTATTTTGACTTAAAACTACCTGATATCCCTATCATACTCAAAATGAGAAAGCAGACACCTTGCTTTGGTGACTGCTGCTTTTCTTTTCTATAGGCTTTTAACATAGTTAGACATAAAATTAGCAATCCGTTTGATATGCAAAACCAGCTTTTCAAAACTGCTAAGAGCATTACTTTATATTCACTAAAAGACCTGAGAAAGTCCTCATCTCTCACTCCATCCTTTAGCTTCCTTATAGGCAAGGAGAAAGTGGCCACTGAACTGAATTTGCACAAATGCATGAGGCCAACAATACCCTGATGCTGCAGAGTCTGCTGCAGAAGGGCCAAGTCCTCCACAAACTGCATCTAGGCAGCAAGAATAGTAAGGACATTTTGTTAATTCTACTTAGTGGCACCATCTCTCTTATTATTATGCCTCGGTTATACTCCTCAATGGTGCCTTTACAGTCACAGTTATATTTTTTTAACAGGCTGTGTGCAAACACTGCACTCTTCCACTTACTGTAACTGAACTTACTTCATAAAAACAGTTGTACTTTGTAATAATCAGATTCTCATTAAATAAAATGGAAAATAAAATGAAGATGCTATAGGGAATACGGTTATATTTAAGCATACTTAGTATTCCAGCACGGAGAGATTAGTGGAACAAGCAAATTGCACAGGGATGCTGAGCTCTTATTCCCACTAATTGAAGACTATGTTTCCAAGAGGAAAACCTCAACATCAGACATTGCCTTTCCAAGGGAGGCATTTTAGCCATGTTGCTAAAAATAGGGAGCCAAGTCAGATTACACATCGTGTTCTGCAAGTCCTGCACCACTGCTCACTATATTATAAATAGTTATATCAGTAGGGCTTATATTGCTGCCAGCATGTGGAAGCAAAACATGCGCCAAAGAATTAAAGCAGCAACATCTTTTTTTAAAAAAAAAAAAAAAAGGAATCACAAGTAGAGAGCATCAAGATCAAATTAGACAAAGCTAAACCTTGTATTAAAAGAAAAATGGTGGAACTAAGTAATTCACTTACAAGTAAATCAGTTGGTTTTCATAGTCTCAGTACTGTTTTATTTCAAAAGAAAAAAGCTATTTAATAGTCTTTAATTTTATTGTGGAAATATTTTATTCCTCTTTTGGCTTTAGCAAAAAAAAATCTTGTAAAATAAGTTAGATTATTAACCTAAGTTGGTGCTAGTTCTTTAGGCTATTGTGCAATATTGATGGCAGAACATGTAATGCTGCACACAAGCTTTTTGGCAGCACTTCCAAACCCCTGACAAGCCAGCAAAAGTTTCAGTATGTGAACTGAAACAGTCCTGCCACTCTTCCCCTTCTCCTCTCTCATTGCATCCTGCTTGCCAGACTTGTGGTGCCCACGAGGCAGCCCCAGAGTCACTGCTGGGGCTCCCCTTCCACCCTGCCCATTTTACCTGTGTGTCCTCCTACAGTAGCCAGCTCAGCCCCAAGGGGAGCACCACGATGAAACGAGGCATTTCCATAGAATGCCTCATATAGGGAGCCCTGCTGCCCCACAGCAACCCCTGCTCCGTTCCCTAAAGCAGCTGCAGTGTCACTGCAGTGTCACTCTCCCTCCTAACTAAGCATGTTGAATGAAAATAAAGTCACTCCTAATTCCTACAGGAACAGATGGTACAAGATTATTTTGGCAAATGCTTTGCCTTAGTAAAGGTAGAATTGAGGTGTTCTCTCTTGGGGCTAAAGGGCCCAAAGAACTTCTCCAATTTGTTAACTAAATTTGTTAGTTAAAATACACAGAAAGTACAAAATGCATAACAGGGATAATTTTCAAATCTGAGACACCTACATCCTGTATTCCAGCTTTCTCTCCTCTGTGGATTAAAGACTTCCTGATGATACAGCATAGAGGTGTTCCATAGTCCATGCAGGAGAATCAAAGGCACGGGAGGTATCCACCACATCTTTCTCCATATGCTAAGGTGACTAATTGTCAACAGTGGCCAAAGGAAGCAAAACTTTCCTCCCTTTTTCAGTAGGAAAGCTGTACATTTTACAGATTCACAGATTCACAGAATATTTAAGGTTGGAAGGGACCTCTAGAGATCATCTAGTCCAACCTTCCTGCTCAAGCAGGCACACCTACAGCATGTGGCACAGGGTGGCATCCAGGTGGGTTTTGA